TTCTGCCATGCTGCTGAGTGGTTTGCGATTGTAGCTCTGTGTAGCTCTGTTTTTCTGTTGGAGTAATGGCTTCTCCTGTTATTGTCACTTGCACTGCTTGCCACATGTATAGTGTAGCTTTCTCTGTCAGTGCCGAGGGATTCACATATGATAAATGCAGGGAAACAGTAAGGCTGACAGAGAAGATTTCAGAACTAAAGACATGCATCCAAACTTTAATTGAGAATAGTAAGAATGTGAGGGCCTTAGATACGGCTTGGGATGTGACTAGCTTAGAGTGTCGCGTATATTGTTCGTTTCCGGTTGCAGAGCCCCCGCAGCAGGGTGACTGTGAGGCGGCATAGTCACGGGACAAACACTGCTCTTCCGTTCTGATCAAAACATTAAACAGGTTCTCCCACTCCCCACTCCCAATCACGCACCCACTGAGAAAGCTGATGAAAGTGCCCTAGTTATTGGCGATTATATTGTACGGATCGTGAAAATAGAGACACCAGCCACCATAGTCCAATGTTTACCGGGAACCAGAGTGCCTGACATCTTGGCAAATCTAAAAGTGCTGGCTAATGCTAACGTAAATTCAGTAAGATTGTTATTCACGTCGGCACTAATGATGTTCGACTTCACCAGCCAGAGATCACTAAAAATAACATTAAAGAGGTTTGTGAACTTGCAAGTACGATATCAGACACAGTAATATGCTCTGGTCCCCTCCCTGCTTACCGTGGTGATGAGATACATAGCAGACTGTCGTCACTCAATGGCTGGATGTCTAAGTGGTGCCCACAGAATAACACAGGTCTCATAGAAAATTGTGAACTTGAACTTCTTTACTTCCAAGATTGATAGTATTAGAGAGGAAATTATAACCATGCAGCAGTCAGCTACAGTATTGCATCAGACAGTGCACTATAGATTCCCTGAGGAACAATTCCACAATTGTTGTTGGAATTGCATTGGCATGGTTCAAATCATTCTTATCTGACCGTCATCAATTCGTAGATGAATGAAATTCGTAGATGAATGTAGTGAATGAAGAAGTATCATATCGTTCACAAGTGCAGTATGTAGTACCGCAAGGCTCAGTACTGGGACCATTGCATTTCACACTTTAAATGCTACCCTTGGGAAATATCATCAGAAAACATGGTGTTAGCTTTCACTGTTATGCTGATGATACTCAGCTCTATATTTCTTCGCGGTCTGACGAAAAACATACTATTTTGCAAAACTAACAGAATGTGTAGAAAAATGGATGACTATTAATTTCCTACTGCTAAATTCTGAAAAAACATAGGTGTTAATTATCAGAACAAAAAACCTCCATATGTAATAATCCAGAACACTGTCTAACACATGATGGCTGTGCTGTCAATTCTTCATCATCAGTTAGGAACCTCTGTGTGCTATTTGATAGCAATCTTTCTTTTGAAAGTCAAATTTCTTGCATTTGTAAAACTGCATTTTCCATCTTAAAAATATATCTAAATTATCTAATATATCTAAATCTCAATGTCAAATGCAGAAACGTTAATTCATGCGTTAGTTAGATTATTGTAATGCTTTATTGGGTGGTTGCTCTGCGCGCTTAATAAACAAACTCCAGCTGGTCCAAAAAGCAGCAGCTTGAGTTCTTACTAGAACCAGGAAGTATGACCATATTATCCCCAGTTCTGTCAACCTGCACTGGCTCCCTATTAAACATCGTATACATTTTAATGCATTCTTAAATAATTAGCAAGAATGTATACATCGTATACATACATATAAAGCCCTGAATGGTGTAGCTCCTCAGTACTTGAGCGAGCTCTTATCGCATTATAGTCCTTCACATCCACTGCGATCTCAAAACTCTGGCCATTTGATAATACCTAGAATATCAAAATCAACTGCGGGCGGCAGATCCTTTTCCTATTTAGCGCCCAAACTCTGGAACAATCTACCTAGAGTTGTTCGGGCGGCAGACACACACTCTGTCAGTTTAAATCTAGATAAAGACCAATCTCTGTAACTTGGCATACACATAACACATGACCACTTTTCTATATCGGTCTATAAATCTGTTAAAGGATTGTTAGGCTGCATTAATGAGGTCAACCGGAACTGGGAATACTTCCCATAACACTCAATGCTTGTTACATCATAAAGAATGGCATCTACGCTAATATTATTCTGTTTTATTCTTATTCCGAGGTCACTGTAGCCACCCAGATACAGTCCGTATCCAGATCAGATGATCACTGTAGTCACCCAGATCCAGTCTGTATACAGTCCAGATGGTGGATCAGCACCTAGAGATGACCTCTACATCCCTGATTGTCAGAGGAGAACAGGTCAACTAGACAAAACCTAGAGACAGATCCCCAGTGAAGACCACCATACCATCGGCACAAGACCACGAGAACCAGACAAGTCCTCTGCTCAATCTGACGTGTGTTGCAGTCTGGAATTAAACCACACCATGTTGGTTTCGTCAGGCCAGAGAAGAACTGGCCCCCTGACTGAGCCTGGTTTCTCCCAAGGCTTTTTTCTCAATTTCTGTCACCGATGGAGTTTTGGTTCCTTGCCACTGTCGCCTTTGGTTTGCTTATTTGGGGACACAATTTCTGGCAACATTGACTTGACTGCACAGACACTATTGGAAGAGAACTGAAGTGAGCTGGACGATGACATCACTGAATCAACGATGAACCAACATTAAATGATAAACTGACTGTTTTCTATTGTCCTCCTGCATTGTCAGCACACATTTGTCCTGTTTTACACTGTAAAGCTGCTTTGACACAATCTGTATTGAATAAAGCGCTATATAAAGGTGACTTGACAACAGAGTTTAGCGGTGATTGGTAGCCAAAAATTTTCTTGTTTTGTAAAAGTTGATGGGTTTGATTCAGTTTGGAAGGGTGGTAATGAACACATCTGAACGTATAAAGGAATACTTCACCCAAAGAAATAACCGTTCTGTCATCATTTGCTAACCTTCATGTCACTCAAAATTTTATGCTGTTATTTATTCTATGGAACACAAAAAAGACCATGTTTAAACAATCATCATAGATCTTTTCAATACAAAGACCACAAGTTCATAGTGACCACAGGCTGGATCAAAAAAACACTATGAAAGCATGAAAGCCATATATCTTAACTTTGGGTGATAATCAAAAGTTACCGTTGAAAAGTTTGGGGTCAAACAAATGCAGCCTTGATAAACACCAGAAACTTGTACGGTATATATAGTCTAAGTCTTAATTCAGCCATTACCTGAATCTCTGCTGCAGCTCTCAAATCAAATATGGTGCAAGTTGGACATCAATTACAAAAAATAACGTAAAAGTTGAGAGCTGTAGTTAGGGCTGTCGCGGTGAGGGAATTTCCCTTGCGGTAATTTTGAGTGGCTCAATAGCGCGGTATGCGGTTTTACCGCCATAAATATACATATTATATATATATACATACACACACACACACATATATATATATAATTTGTGTGTGTATGTGTTGCTGTTTAGGAGCCTCTGTACAAATCAGCATGGTACACATCATGTTATCATTACTAACTTGTTTAATATTCAGTCCACATGCATGAAGTGTAAAACGAGAAGGGCATAACCTTACGAAAAAATAAAACACGGAAAAATCGCAGTTGCTGCGGTTCTTGCATTCCTCTGCGGTTTGCTCGTCAATAGCGCTGTATTATATTGCGGTTATCGCGACAGCCCTAGCTGTAGTGGAGGTGAAAATATCAATGAATAATTTTGTTATTTTTGGTTTGTCACAAAGCTCTAATATGGCTACAGAAGACCTGGAATATAGCGCTGAAGTTGTATGGAGTAATTTTATAGTGTTTTTTGGAGCTTGACAGCCTGAGGTCACTATTAACTGCATCTATGTGAAGATTCTTTTAAAATCCTTTATCGTATTCTACAGGAAAAAAAAGTTTTGGAATGACATGACAATGACAGAATCGTAATTTTAGGGTGAAGTGTAGCTTTGAAGTATCTCGCTCTCAACAGCATCATTGTTTCTTTACAATTCAACCTAATTCCCTGTTGATTTATATGAAGTAGGCCATAAAAATGGCCAGTGTTGTGGATGGCCATTACCAAGACAACAAACCAAAATCCATGGAGAGAACTAAATTCACAACACATCAATCACAGAGAAACTAATTTCCCAGCAGAACAAACAACACAAAAAACAGCCAGAGAAAGTTGCTGCCTACTGCTACAACCTGCATACTAGAGTATTACATATAAATGAATTTAATTTACTGTAAAAAATATGCTTTCTGCTGGAAGATATGACCCTACTGTAGGATATACGTGAAAAGAAAAAATAGCAGCAGTCGAGTAAGAACACAAGCTACGGTACATTTCAATCGCAGTCAGTGTGAATGGTCAATGAATGTGCCACAATATATATCAAGTAACTTCTTTTGTTGCATTTTTTGCATCTTTGCTGAGTAAATTCATATAAACTACAGCATTTTTGTCGGAAAATTGGTATTAACTCATTTACATAGTAAACTGCATCTGGCCAAGAGTGACTGTGTGTAACACCATTAAATTTGTAAAAATGAATGATGAACGAAAATCATAATTGCAGATCGTGATTCTGAAAATGATAGCACTACCATTTGCTCACTGGGTAGGCAAAAACCTCATTAGTAAAAGCAGTTCCTGTCCAACACAAATGGACTACGGCAACGGCATTAATCACACTATATTACAGGCCGTGTATTCCTGCGCCCATCTCCACTCCGCAGGGGAAACCTTTGGCCCCTTTAAGTAAAGCAGTAAATGTATAGTAGTATTCATACTTTAGCTGGTTTTATGCCAGAAGTTTCATGCCTAGGCACAAAATACAGTGCTGGCTAAGACGGGAAAAACAAATAACAACAGTTTGAGCTGCAACGGCCCATAAATCACTGGGTTTGCTAAGGGGACCTAAACTAGGTTTGATTCTATTAAGCAAATTACAGTAAATGATGCATAGAGTACCTGTTATCATTGAGTTGGGTGTATCGAGGTTGAGGATCTGGGTCGCCATCATTGACATCATAGCTAGCATCTGGATCCTGCAAATATATATAAGGAACATTTAATGAAGTTATTTTGTTTTGGGTTTTATGGCAAAGGTAACAGTCATTTACTCAAACTCACATAGTTCTGAATCAGATCTGGGTGGTTTTTTTCAATTCCATCATCCAATATGGACACGACGACGCCTTGTCCAGTGAAACCCTGCTTCCAGGCTTCCTTCACGATGAGATCACGACGATCTTCATTGTACTGAATAGAGAATAAGAGAAAGAACAGATCAGCATAGAAGCCACTTCCCTTCTGCTAACTACTCCGCTGATGCAGAACATCAACATTTGTTTGAGGGTCATGTTTTGAGGATCATCTTTCACTTTTGAAGCTCACATCAGCTCTCTGATTCAAGGCTGCAGTCTGCCATTACCTCAATACCGCATGGCCTCCTGATCTAGGCATGAAAGATGCTGAAACTCTAGTATATGCCTTCACGATTTCCTGTCTAGGTTATTGCAGTCACATATTGTACTGTAACCCCAGGTATGGAGTTTGTGGTTTGCCTTCTGTCCTCTTGATATGTTGATAGTAGAGCTTCCACTGTACTGTTTATATTGGTTTTATGTTACACAATTTTATGTTATTTTCACACCAGTTTTCACACCAGAAGCAGTTTTTGCATTGATGCTAGTTTTTTTTTTTGGTGTGTGTGTGTGTGTGAAAAAGAGGGAAAATAGTTTAAATAAATAAATAATTTAATAACAGAATTGTCCCAAAATATTTTTTATATAAATAAAAAATATATATACACTACCAGTCATAATTAAGATGTTTTAGCATCTTCAATTAATCAAGTAGTATCTTAAATTAACAAAACTGCATTTGTTTGATCAAAAATACAGTACAAATTAGGGCTGTGCAATATATCGAAATGATCTAAATATCGCAAATGTACATATCGCAATATGCATATCGCTTACAGCTTGCAATATTTGGGGCCATGAACAAAAGACAAAAGAGAAAATCACTCACTGCTCTTACCTAAATAACGTTTGTAGCTTAAATAAGGATCAGTGCATATTGAATTCAAAGAGTAAATACTAAGCAGTGCTTTATTCCAGGTCCTGAAGCTGCAATGCAGCCCCAGACCATCACACTACCACCATCATGTTTGACTGTTGGTATGATGTTCTTTTTATGAAATGCTGTGTTGGTTTTAAGCCAGATTTAACGGGACACACACCTTCCAAAAAGTTAAAATTTTGTCTCATCAGTCCACAGAAAATTTGGCCAAAAGTCTTGGGGATAAACAAGATATTTTTTGGCAAATGTGAGACGAGCCTTTGTGTTCTTTTTGGTCAGCAATGGCTTTTGCCTTGGAACTCTCCCATGGATGCCGTTTTTGCCCAGTCTCTTTCTTATTGTTGAATCATGAACACTGACCTTAATTGAGGCAAGTGAGGCCTGCAGTTCTTTAGATGTTGTTCGGTGTTCTTTTATGACCTCCTGGATGAGTCGTCGTTGCGCTCTATACTGAAATAAATGAACTTTTCCACGACATTCTAATTTATTGAGATGCACCTGTAGTAATATTGTGAAATATGATTACAATTTAAAATAACTATTTTAAGTTAGTCCTAGTCCTAGACTAAAATGTAATTCTGAGATGTTTCAACTGAAAGAAACTTGCTCTGACTGATCTTAAAATATATCAGTGCCTTTGTTTTGTCTCAAAATGCACACCAGTAATGTTTTTTCTAAGGCACGTTTATAAAAATTACTTAAATGTCCTAATTGAACTATGGCCTAATCCTGGCTTAGTCTAAGCCCTGTCTGTGAAACCGGGCCTATATTTTTAAAAGGTAATTAATTCCTGAGATGTCAATTTTCAGCAGCCATTGACATTAAATCATTCTAATATGCTCATGCGGTGCTCAAGATTTCTTATTTCTTTTTATCACAGTTGAAAACAGCTTTTGCTGCTTAATATTTTGTGAGAAACAAAATACTGGTTTTACTGTAATTTTTTATCAAATAAATGCAACCTGGATGAGAATAAGAGTTTTCAACACTGATAATTTTTTCTTGAGCATCAAATCAGCATATTAGAATGATTTCTAAAGGATCATGTGACACTGAAAACTGGGAGTAATGATGCTGAAAATTCAGATTTGCCATCAATGAAAAAATTGCATGGTTAAATACTTAAAAATATTTTAAATTGTAATAATATTTCACGATATTACCATTTTTTACTGTATTATTGGAGCCTTGGTGAGCAATAAGATGACTGTAACACAAAAAGAAACACCCAAACGTCTTGAGAAATGACAAGCAGCCGAGTGAGAAGCGCTGTCAGGGTGACCGTCCACCCACCCACTGTCAGACCACAGAGATCTGACCTCTCCCCACTTCACACGCATGTCACTCCAGTGCAGAAATGAACGTTGCCACCTGAGTTTATCCGAGCAGAAAATTGAATTTATTTCGCTGCATGGCTCCTTGACTTTCCTCTTGGTAGCAGCGTCACTGCTCTCTTTCCCAGGGAGGTCGCAAGGAGAAATTGAAGCCAGTAAGGTGCTGTCAGGTCTGATGACCCCAAAAATGATACACGCTCCTGCTTATACTGGGATTGCAAGTCAAACGAAGAGAACTGACAGTTTATCTCTTAAGCCTACATCAGGCAAAATGATGCAATCTCACCTCAAAGGTCCAGTAATAATGGTGGTGAGGTTGATAAATTGCTGCTGGTGATGACTGTTGCAATTGTCAACTGTTACATTTGCGGTGAAACTTTCTCTGCATTCCATTCTGCGGAAATGTTATTGAGTGGCTTCTACCTGTTGTACTGTTAAACTTCATTGATAACGCTGCCGTGAAGAGGGGAATAATGCGTTGCAGGGCTCCAGACTGCGACTAAAACGACCAAAAATATTAATTTGCGAGTGAAGTTTTTGCTGAGGTCGCCATTGGCGACTATATATATTTACATGTTATAACTTAAAAATTTGCATGTAATGCATTTTTTCCTGATTGTTTTGCGATCACATCTTTTTTTGTGTTCACGTAAACTGAGACGATGCGCATCAAAGTTTCATCAAAGTCTCAAACAGTCCTCATCTCTGCAGCGCTGACGCACACCTGCTAAACACAGCTCAGTTGTGCAGCGCGAGAGAGATCGAAATGACAGAGACGTGCGAAGTGAAAGTGCAGAAAAGCAGTGTCTATTTCGTGCACAACTTCAACAAACTACAACAGGTAAAGCTGTCAGCTGTGTGGATATTGGCAATATCGTTAACAATTCTCATTTATAATCATTAATAATATGGCTTCTTCTTATCAAGATCTTAGTCTATGTTGTGTTCTGTTAATGCGTGAACTTCATATTA